CCCCTGCCTCTCCCGCCCGCCCTCGTCTCTTCTCTTCCCTCTCTCCCCGCTCTCCTTGATGTCGGTGGACCCCATGTGTGGTGTATGTGAAGCGGGAGGAGAGAGACGGTCACTTTCTCCCCATCCGCCTCTGCCACCCGGGACCCAGGGTTACTGGGTTCTTGTCTCGCCTTGCAGAAAAGAATTTCAGGAGTTGACGAGCAGTCAAGTAAAACAGATTTTATTTGGAGGTTTTTGAAGGGAAGGAGGAAGAGAAAGTAAGAGAGAGAGGAGAGTGACGTGCAAGAGAGAACCCGGGCTTCTCCAAGGGCGGAGAGAGCCCTACACACACCCCAGCATTAGGCATGAAAGCGTGAAAGTCCCCATCTCAGGAGGGGAGACGCGGGCGCCATCTGAGCTCACTCGGCAGCATCTGCGCCAACAGTTTGCTCTTCTGGAAAATGCTCTGATGGAATATGTGACTCCCCATGCCCTCATTTCATACACGCCACAGCAAAGACACCCCCTCCTCAGTCATCCTCCCGCCCGTCTTTAGGCCTTTGTGAGCACTTTGCCAAATCACTTTGCTTTTTCCTTGAGGGTTTGACTCTTTCTGGACACTTGCTATCAGTGGACTCACGCAGAGTGGCCCCAGCAGCCCTGCTGTCAGAGCGGGGACCTGTCCCCAGCCTCTGCGTTCTCCTGGACAGCACAAGCTCTGCAGTCCCATCACGGGGTCACGTCCTCCTCTCCCGGTGGGTCAGGACCTAATGCAGCTGTGCTCGGTGTCACCAGAGGTGCTGGGCGAGCGGACCATCTGGGTTATCCTTGTAGCAGGACTGGAGTGGGCCTGGGCATTCAGAGCCAGGAGTGCGGGCATGTGGGGACGGGGACGGGCTCCTTCCCTGGTCTGTAGGAGGCCTGGCTTCCTGAGAGCACCAGCACCAGTGACCCCTGAGCACAGAGCCAGGAGTAGCCCCGAGTACTGCCCTGTTGTGTTCCAAAAGAGAACAAAATAAAAAAGTCATTTTTTCCCCCTGGAGATGACCTTAAAGTAATTTGCATTTTAAAATCATTTCAGGGGCTGGAGCAATAGCACAGCGGGTAGGGCGTTTGCTTGCACGCGGCCGACTCGGGTTCGATTCTCAGCATCCCACATGGTCCCCCGAGCACTGCCAGGAGTGATTCCTGAGTGCAAAACCAGGAGTGACCCTGAGCATCGCTGGGTGTGACCCAAAAGGCAAAAAAAAAAAAAAAAAAAAAAAGAAAAGAAAAAAGAAAAAAAATCATTTCAGTAACAATTGTACAACTTACCACCAATATTTCTTTTGCGCCCAGCCGACAGTGCAGGGGTGGAGAGCAAGTGTGTGCGGCTGGTCTTCTAGCGGGGAGCCGGGGACCCGTGTGCAGAGGTTTTCGGCCTGTGGAGGTGCCTCCTGCCACCATTTACACTAATAGATGGTTTGGAGGGTGATTTCAAGCCATACACGGCAGTGCTCGGTTGGGGGCTACACCTGGGGTCAGCAGCGTGCAAGGCAAGCGCCCCGACACTGCACTCCCACTTTTTGTTGTTTTATTGTCTGTCTAGAATACACCAGCAGTGGGTGCCTGGCACAGTGCTGGGGGAACGTGCAGAGCCTGGGATTGAACCCGGGGCTTCCAAGCTCCAGGCTGGATTGAACCTGCGCTTTGTGCCTGCACTAGACGCCCAGGCTTCGCCCGGCGTTGGCTTTCGAAGGCTTTGTCTTGCCTTTAGTCAACAGAGAAAGTAGTACTTTGTGACATATTTCTAAAAATTGATGACAGGAATAATTTTAAAATATCACTGTATCACTGTCATCCCGTTGTTCATTGATTTGCTTGAGCAGGTACCAGTAATGTCTCCATTCGTCCCAGTCCTGAGATTTTTAGCAGCCTCTCCTTACTCGTCCTTCCCAATGCTGCCATATTGGAGGCTCTTTCAGGGTCAGGGGAATGAGACCTGTTATTGTTACTGTTTTTGGCATATCGAATACGACACAGGGAGCTTGCCAGGCTCTGCTGTGGGGGTGGGATACTCTTGGTAGCTTGCCGGGCTCTCTGTGTTTAAAAATATAACACACATAATAAATGATTGTGCACAATACAATTTTGGCAATTACACATAACTTGGGATGTATAGGAAAAGAACACGTAACATCAAGAGAGAAAAATAACAGATGCACAAGTTAGTTGGAAACTGCACAGTAAGATTTTCTTTTTTGAAGTCACTGATGAGGGCTGGGAGACTCCGAGGGCAGAGCACGTGCTTTGCATCCAGGAGATCGGGATTCTTCCTGGGTTCTGTGTTGGTACTGCATGGTCTCTCAACATCCAAGCCAGGAGTAGGCCCTAAACTCTGCTGGTTGGGCCCAAGGACAAAAATAATTAGCCTAAATAGGCACAAGTAGAGTTAATACTTGAAAAAATATATATGTATTTTTTTTGTCTTTTATTCTTTTTTTTTTCTGTTTTTGGGTCACACCCGGCGACGCACAGGGGTTACTCCTGGCTCTGTGCTCAGGAATTACCCCTGGCGGTGCTCAGGGGACCATATGGTGTTAGGGCACGGCTCTTAATCTCCGACCGCCAGCAAGGGCCACACAGGAATGCAATCCGCAAGCAGACAGTTTATTGAGTTGTAGCCACGGTTAAGCCGTCCCACCGACACGCAGGCCCAGTAGGTTAGGCAAGACCCCGAGCTTCTTCAGAAGGGAACATTTATAGACCTATACTAGCCGTTACAGCAGATTTGAAGGTCACAATTTACGTAAGTGTCCGCTCCAGGCTTCATGTGATATCCGGGTCCAAGGGCGAGGATAATCAACCACAAGGTCTTTTATGAAGTTAGCTTATACCCTTATATGGCCATAGCTCAGGGGCCTGTACTTTCCTCCTGGAACAAGCAGATAGTGGAGGCCTGAGTAGAAACTTTACTATCTCCATTGTCCTTGGCCCAGTCCAAGACTCTCCTGTCCTAACAATGGGATGCTGGGAATCGAACCCGGGTCAGCCGCGTGCAAGGGAAACGCCCTACCCACTGTGCTATTGCTCCAGCCCTTGTCTTTTATTCTGGTTGGGGGCCCCACGCTGCACTATTCAGAGATCACTCCTGGTGGTGCTCGGAGCACCATACGTGGTGCCAAGGATTGAACTTGAGTCAGTTGCTGGCAAGGGAAGGGCCTTACCCCTGTACTCTATGGCACGTGATTTGTGTTATTGTTTTTGTATTTTTTCTTTTTGGGTGGCACCTGGTGATGCTCAGGGGTTACTCCTGGTTCTGCACGCAGGAATTACTCCTGGCAGTGCTCAGGGGGCCATATGGGGTGCCCGGGATCGAACCTGGGTCAGCTACATGCAAGGCAAACACCCTCCCCGCTATCCTATAGCTCTGGCCCCTGTTTGTTGGGTTTTAGTTTTGGGGCCACAACCAATGGTGCTCAGGGCTTACTCCTGAGCATCAGGAGTGCTCAAGAGTGCTCCTTGGTGGTGCTGGAGATGGAACTCGGATTGAGTGTGTGCGAGGCAAGCACCTTACTTCTTGTACTATCTCTCTGGCTCTGGTATGTCACGTTGGACTCCTTTTAAAGGTGAAAAAAAGGGGGGGGAGGTGGGGTCCTTGAGTAATGATGGAGGGACTGCACTGAGATGTGTGGAAGTAGTAAGATCAGACTGTTATAAACCACGACACCTCAGTAAAAACCCAAAACAAAAACCCAGCTCAAAACATGTTCTCTTTATGCTGGTGGGAAAATTCGAGCAAAACATAATGCCTAAAAGTAGAGAGAGAGCATTGGGGAAACTGCCTGCCATGGAGACAGGGTGAGGACTGGGATGGGGGTATACTGGGAACACTGGTGGTGGAAAGTGTGCATTGGTGGAGGGGTGGGTGTTTGATCATTGTACAGCTGAATTTCAATCATGAAAGCTTTGTAACTATCTCATGGTGATTCAATTTAAAAAAAATAGGGGCTGGAGTGATAGCACAGTGGGGAGGGCATTTGCCTTGCACGCAGTCGACCCAGGTTCGATTCCCAGCACCCCATATGGTCCCCCGAGCATCGCTGGGAGTAATTCCTGAGTGCAGAGCCAGGAGTAACCCCTGTGTATTGCCGGGTGTGACCCAAAAAGCAAAAAAAAAAAAAAAAAAAAAAAAAAAGATAAATAAAAAAATTAAAAAAAACATATTCTCTTTGATTCAGCAGCTCCACTTTGGAAATTCCTGGTAGCTGTTCATGGGAACTTAGAGGCAATGTTGACAATGAAAGCACTGGCGATCGCCTCAGAGTCTGCCTGTGGGAATAGTGAAATGAAGTAAAGGTGGTTACAAAGGCTGAGGAGGAGGGAAGTGCGGGAGGCCCAGTCCTGGTAGAGGGTCCAGCCCTGGCTGGGGAGGGGTGCAGAGGAGGTAGGTTCTGGCTGAAGGCTGGAGAGACACGATGCAAATGAGGGGCATTTGTGGGTGGGGAGAGGCCCCTTCTGGGCTTAAAAAGCTCGACGAACGCTCCCAGCAGCAGCAGGAGCGCTCAGTCTCGGCCCAGGTGGAAAAGGGAGAGGGACTGTGAACAGTAAAGAAACGAAACCTGGCCTGGTTCCCATCCACTCCTGTCCCGAATGCCGTCTCCGTCCCCGGGATTGTCGCTGCGTGCACGCAGGTTCGTGTGCACGCGGAGCGCTGCAGTGATTTTGCATCAGGCCCCATTTAAACTGCAGGGGCCTGTCACCCACGGGCTCCCGTAAGAACACGGCCGGGGAGCCGGGACAGCGGCCCCGATTCGCCCCAGGCACCGCAGATGGTCCCGGGTCCACCTGAGCGCGGAGCCCCGAGGAAGCCCCGAGCACCGCCGGGCGAGTTCCGCCCGCAGCCCCGGAAGAATCGCTTCCCACGAGCGGAGCGTCGGTTGCTTAGCAACCGGGCCCGGAGCCGCGCCCCATTGCGCACGCGCGGAGGCGGCGGGCGTTTTGCGCACGCGCCGGCGGCGGCGGTTGCTAGGCGACGGGATACAACATGGCGGCCGGTCCTAACGCTCTCATCCAGGGACCCCCGCGGAGGCCCTAGTGCGGGTCCGTACCCGGGCGAGTGGGAGCCGGGGCCGCCCTTCGTGCCGAGTTCCTCCGACGGTGTCTCGAGGGGCTTGGCCGGCGTCCGCGGCCAGGATGAAGAGTGAGTGGGCGGCTGCGGCGGGGGTCCAGGTCGCGGGGGCGGGGGCGGGGCCTGGGCGGCTGCGGCGGGTCCGGGGGCGGGTCCGGGGGCGGGGTGGGGGCGGGGCCCGGGGTCCGGGGCCCGGGTCGGGATCGGGGTCGGGGTCCGGGTCCGGGTCGGGGCCTGGGCGGCTGCTGCGGGGTCCGGGCCGGGGGCGGGGGCGGCGGCCGGGCTTGACTTAGTGTCGCGGCTGCTTTCCCCCGCGCGGGTCCAGAGGGGACGGGCCGTGGGCTCCTGTCGGGGGTCCGTGGGCTTCTTATCGGGGGTCCGTGGGCTTCTTATCGGGGGTCCGTGGGCTTCGTACCGGGGGCCAGTGCGCTCGCCGCTGGGGGCCGAGGCCGATGCGGGTGGACCGTCCTCCCCGCGCCCACGTGCGCCTCTCCCGCGCTTTCCCTGGAGGGTCTGGGGGCAGCTTCCGGCGGGGCTCAGAGGAGAGGCGGTTGCGCACAGCCGGCCCTTGGATCTGGATCCTCCGCATCCCAGAGGGTCCGGGAGTGATCCCTGAGCACAGAGCCAGGAGTAAGCCCTGCGCGAGCGGGCTGTGGCCCAAACACAAAAAAAGGGGAGTGTTGCTGAAAGCTGTGGAGGGTGTAGGCACCTTGGGAAACCGACAGAAGGGGTGCAGAATTCACCATGACCCCAGTGCAGTTACCACTGGCTCTGCACCCAGTGTTCACTCCTGGGCCCCCTGTGCTCTGTGGGCCCCCTGTGACGCCAGGGCAGAACCTGGGCCCACTACGTGCAAGGCCAGTGTCCTATCCCCTGTCCTGTCTCCGCAGCCCTGGGTCATTTTATTTAATTAATTAATTTATTTATTTTGCTTTTTGGGTCACACCCGGCGATGCACAGGGTTTACTCCTGGCTCTGCACTCAGGAATCACTCCTGGCAGTGCTCAGGGGACCATATGGGATGCTGGGAATCAAACCCAGGTCGGCCGCGTGCAAGGCAAAGGCCCTACCCGCTGTGCTCTCTCTCCAGCCTCCCCCTGGGTCATTTTAAACATCGTTGTACTGGCTCTGCACAATTGTCATTTTGCGGTCATGAGCCAGAGGTGCTGTGGAAAGTTTAAATTTTGTAGGAGTAGTGTAGTTTATGTTGTGGCCTAATTGTCAGTTGATAATTCTGTGTGGCAGCCGTGGTGTAACAAAGACTTCATATTCAACCTTTGCAAGACATTTATTTCTGTGAGAACATGTTTCTGTGTTTATCTTTTTCACCCATGTACCCAGAGCTGTAAGGGCTGGAGTGAATAGCACAGCGGTAGGGCGTTTGCCTTGCACGCAGCCAACATGGCCGACCCGAGTTCGATTCCTCCGCCCCTCTCGGAGAGCCCGGCAAGCTACCGAGAGTATCTCGCCCGCACGGCAGAGCCTGGCAAGCTCCCCGTGACGTATTCGATATGCCAGACACAGTAACAACGAAGTCTCCAATGGAGACGTTACTGGGCCCGCTCGAGCAAATCGACGATCAACGGGAGGGCCTTTACCTTACCTTTACCCAGAGCTGTAGTTTGAATACAGGCCTGCAAAACTGTACCTTTTTTATTTTTTTGCTTTTTTAGGTCACACCTGGCGATCCACAGGGGTTACTCCTGGCTCTGCACTCAGGAATTACCCCTGGCGGTGCTCAGGAAACCATATGGGATGCTGGGAATCGAACCCGGGTCTGCCACGTGCAAGGCAAACGCCCTACCCGCTGTGCTATGGCTCCAGCCCCGCAGAACTGTATTTTTAACTTCACTTCTAACCTGTACTTACAGTGGGTACACTTTTTTCTTTTGCTCTGTTTCTTCCAGTTTATTTTTGGGGCCACACCCAGTGGTGCTCAGGGCTTTCTCCTGGTTCTGTGCTCAGGGATCCGTTGTGTTCAGGGAACCATATGTGATGCTGAGGATTGAGCCAGGTTGCGTGTGTGCAGGGCAGGTCATTTCTAGACTGTCTTCCACTCCCTTCTCTGTCCTTTTTTATCTTTAAGATCATTTTGTCTGCTTCCTGCCTGCCTTCCAGCTTTCCTCTCTCCAAATGATGGGTTTGTTTGCGCTGCCCTTTAGAGAGTTGACATCATGACATTTCACTGCTTAAGCCAAGGACATTGGCCTCTGTAGTCTCAGACAGACGGGACGAGATAACTCTTGTGTCCGCATTATCTCGTACAGTCTATTGATCCTTTCCCTATTTACCTCCATAAGTTCTGCTGGAGGTTTGTTATTTTTTTCCCCAGGATCCAACCAAAAACCACAAATTGCATCTTGCCTGTCCCTCAGACTGTTGTTCTGGCTCAGTCTCCTGCCTCTCGTGTCTTTCACAATGTCATTTTTTTTCTTTTTGGGGGTCACACTTGGCGATGCTCAGGGGTCACTCCTGGCTCTGCACTGAGGAATCATTCCTGGCGGTGCTCAGGGGACCATATGGGGTGCTGGGAATCGAACCTGGGTCGGCTGCGTGCAAGGCAAACGCCCTCCCCGCTATGCTGTCACTCCAGCCCCACACAGTATCATTTTTTGAGAACTCAGGCATATTTTGCAGATTAGTACTCAGGTCGGACGTGTTTATTGCTACCTCCTAATTAGCTGCAGCTGCTCTCCAGCTGGTTTGTTTTGTTCTGGGGCCACCCCCAGCGGTGCCTGGGGACTCTGCGGGCAGTGCTCCTGGGACTCCTCGCAGCAGGACCCAGGCCTCCCCTAAGCCTGTGCTTGGGTCTACCTCTCCGTCTCCTGCAGCTTAGATAGTTTAGTGAGGAGCCTGTCAGGACTGTCCCTCTGTCCCCGCTGGAGGCCCACGGCGGCAGGCTTCAGTTTTGGGGGAGTGATGCTCAAGTACTTGCTCTCTCACTTTGGCCTTGTAGACCTGCCCCAGCTAGAGGCAGGCGGTGCTGTCCATTCCCCGCATGTGTGTGTGCCCTCCTTTCCACGTGTATGTCGAGAGACGTGGGCCTTTTTTTTTTTTTGCTTTTTGGATCACACCCGGCGTTGCACAGGGCTTACTCCTGGTTCTACACTCAGGAATTACTCCTGGTGGTGCTTGGGGGACCCTATGGGATGCTGGGAATCGAACCCGGGTCAGCCACGTGCAAGGCAAACACCCTCCCTGCTGTGCTGTCGCTCCGGCCTCTTATCAACTTGTTTATAAGACATTTGTTTCAGGCCTTAAATGTTCCAGCTACACCAATAGCCCACCACCAGTGTGTCCTTCCCGCCACGGTGTCCCCGAGTTGCCCACCCATCACCCAGCTGCCCCTTGCAGGCCCCAGGAAACCAGCTTCATACTGCTTGTTGCCACATGACAGCAAATGGAATTACGGAACGTTAGATCAACCCAAGTCAGTTTGCGATAATTTCTGCGTCTCACAGTGGTGTTTCTGAAGTCACTGTCCGAGGACTTACTGAGGTGGCCAGGCCCATTTTAATTTCAGATAATTTCCGCCTTTCCGCGGCCTCTGGCTTGTTTGTGGGGTGCCTGGGCCGTCTCAGCCAGTGGCTTCGGCGTGTGCCTCCCCACTCCTTTCCTGCTCGGTCCTGCTGGGGTGTGCCGCGTGGGTGTCCCAGGTCGGAGATTCCTGAGCAGGCCGAGGGCCGGGGAATCCCTCTTTCTCAGCTGTGCCCCCAAGTACCCGGAAGGGCCCCGCGGGCTGGGCACATTTTCTTCCACACCCCTGGTTTTCCCACCAGCCGCTTGGCCACGGGCCTCTGCCCTCCTGGCTGGGCTCTGCCTGCCCCTCCCCGGGCACAGGAAGGCACTTTCTCCAGTACATCTCTGGGGGGTTCCGGTCGAAGGCAGCAGGTGCGCGTGGACAGCCTTCTCCCTCCCATTCCTCTCTGCAGACTATAAAGCAATTGGCAAAATAGGAGAGGGAACGTTTTCTGAAGTCATGAAGGTGCAGAGCCTGAGAGACGGGAACTTCTATGCTTGTAAACAGATGAAGCAACATTTTGAAAGGTAGGTGTTCTGGAAGCCCGGGTCTGGGCCCAGTTGGGTGGGCGCTGTCCAGCAGACTGGGGCTCGGGGCAGCCCTCTCCCGACAGCCGTGTGCTCTGACTGTGTGCTGCCTCCGAGCTGACCCGGGGTCCGCGTGGCGGAAGAGGGCCAGGGGCTTGGAGCAGTGGGTTTTCGGGGAGGACCTGGGTTTTGGCATGGTCCCTGGAGAACCGGCAGGTCCATTCTCAGCGGTCACATGACTGGGGCAGCCACCGGAGGGGACGAGGCAGCCCAGCGCATGGAGTGGGACGGCTGCGGGTCATGGGACAGAGGGCGGAAGCTCTGGTTTGTGTGTGCCAACCCCGACGTGGGAGCTGCACACTGGAAGCGCTGGGGGTGGGGACGTGACCCCTTCTCTCCTGGGGGTCAGCGGAGGCCTGTGTTGGGGTGTAGACGGTTGTCCCCCACTTGGTATAGGAGACGGAGCAGCAGGGCGCTCCTTGCACCAGCGCACCCAGTTTGACCCCTGGCACCACGTATGGTGCCGCCCTGAGCTCCAGGAGTCATCCCTGAGCTGAGACGGGAAGAGCCCCGAGCAGCCCCAGGGCGCCCCCAACCGAAAGGAGTGAGAGATTAATTGCTTAATTAACTGTCTCTCAGCTCCAAGCGGCATCTGGGCGAGGCAGCATATCGGTGCGGGGAGAGCAGCCCACCCTCACGCTCCTCGCTGACCTCTGCCCCGCGTGGACACTGCCCCCCTCCCCGCGGTGCCCGCCCCCCACTCACTGGGTCTGTCTGTGATTCCTGCTCAGGGTGGCCCCGCTGCCCGACTCACAGAGGGCTGTGCAGTTCTCTGCGGCGTGAATGGGCAGGAAATCCCCCCCCCCCACCGCCTCAACTGTGCCGGAACATTCTAGCCAACAGAGAAAACGCCTTCGCGCCCCTTCTCAGCTCCCACCTGCCTTCAGGCCGCTGTCTTCAGGGCTTTTCCTCTGCCCTCTCCTAGGACTGCCGCATCTCCCGGGGCCCAGGGCCTGCTCCAGGGGGCTGCCAGGGCCTTGGCTGTCCAGCTGCACCCACAGCCCTGCCGCGGCCGTTCAGTGGTGACACCGTGGGGCTCTGTCTGCCGCCAGTGGCCTGGGTTCGTGGAGGCTGTCACTGCCGGACTCTGGACACAGTGCCCGTGGCTCGTGGCCGGGGTCTGAGTGAAGGGGCAGGTGCTGCCCTCACAGAGCGAGGCCAGTATCTGGTGTCTGCCGCAACTCTGGGCATGTCTTTGGCACCTTTGCTCTCTGGCTGTGCTGTCTCTAGTTCTGGCTCTGTTTGTTTGCTTTTTCTTGTCTTGGGTTTGGTTTGGTTTGGGGGTCACATCCGGTGATGCTCAGGGCTCCCTCCTGGCTGTACGCTCAGGAATCGCCTCTGGTGAGCGAGGATCAAACCCAGGTTGGCCGTCTGCAAGGCCAGGGCCCTTCCTGCTGTACTATCGCTCTGGCCCCTGGTTGCTTTTCCTTGGTTATTTTTGTTTGATGGGGGAGGGGGTCACTGGTTCAGTGCTTGGGGACCCTGCAGTGCTGGGAATCAAGTTTGGGGGTGCGGCCAGCACTGGGCACATTGCACCCTTTCCCTGGCGCCCGGGTCACTCATTGCTTTTGGGGCTCAGCCCTGGCTCTGCACTCGGGGTCACTCCCCAGTCAGCTATGTCGAGGCCAGCGCCTTCCCGTCCCCTCCGTGGGCCTAGTGCTCGTCACGGTGCTCACTCCTGGGCATCTGGCGGCAGAGACCCTGTCCCCAAGCAGGGACCACAATCCAGGGGGGCTCATGCGTCTCACAGGAAGTGGACAAGCTGGGGCTGCCTGCCTGTGTAGGTGACGTGAGCCCTGGGTGACCTGGGCCTAGAACAGGCGTTTCCAGGCTGTGCCAGTGGGGCTGCTGCCGCCCCTGGTGGGTCCCTACAGAAAGCCTGGGAGGCCTGACCCGGACCCCCAACTAGGGGTGCTGAGTCCTGGGGGGTGGGTCTGGCAGTAGGGATGGTGATGGCTCAGTGGTGCCCTAGTGAAGATGGGTGCTGTCCACCCGGTAGGGTGTGGGCCCTTTCTTGTCCGAGGCCTCTCTCAGGCGCTTTCGACACGAAACCCCGTGTGTGCGTTTCCCAGAGGGACCCTGGCCCGGGGACTCCACCTTGGAGGCTGTCGTGGGGACCTCTGGGGGCAGCCCGGTCCTGGGTCCTGACAGTGGGGTGTGTGGAGCCCCATGAAGGTCAGTCAGGCTGTGCCTGCTGCTGTGGCCCCCACCCGGCCACCTGGACACTGAGGGGGTGCCGGCTGGACAGGGAGGGGAGTGCAGGCGCCCCCCGCAGGCTGCCATCTTGCTTTTCAGCATGGGGGACCATGCACACCCTGCTCAGGACAGAAGTGTCACACTGGGGGGGAGTGCGCTGCGAACCCTGGGTCCCTGCTGCAGGGGCACGGCCGGGCAGGCGTCCCCTCTCTGGAGTCTGTGGGCAGCGCCACGCCCCACTGGGCCCTGGAGGGTGAATCGTGACTTCCTGGCCCCGACCTGAAGCTGACCGTTCTCTGCCGCCCTTGTGTTTACTGCACACCAGCATCGAGCAAGTGAACAACCTGCGCGAGATCCAAGCTCTGAGGCGCCTGAACCCGCACCCCAACATCCTCACGCTGCACGAGGTGGTCTTGTGAGTATGCGCGGGCTCAGGCCTTTCCGTGCCTGAGAGACTCGGCCTTGGTCTTTTCTGGCGGGGAGTTTGACCCTCAGCTGCCAGTGCTCAGGTTACTCCTGGCTCTGTGCTCAGGAGTCACTCCCGGCAGGACTTGGGGAACCCGGGGAGGGGGGTGCTGGGGTGGAGATCAGGGCCGGCCTGCGTGAGGCGAGCACCTTAACGCCTCTTCTCCTCCGTTCTCGCTCTCTCTTTCCTGTGTCCGGGCCTCCCCTGGGGGTGCGCAGGGCTCACTCCTGGCTTTGCACGCAGGGGTCACTCCTGATGGTGCTTGGGGGCCATACGGGATGCTGGGGATCGAACCCGGGTTGGCTAAGGGCGAGGCCAGTGCCTCCCCAGCGTGCTGTGGCCCAACCCCCTCTCCCCCCTTCCCACCTCTCAGCCCCCCTGCCTCTGGAGGAGACCGGCAGCAGGGCAGCCGTGTGCTCTGTGGCCAAGGAGCCCATTTGTGGGCTCTGGGGCCGTGGAAGCTCCCACTGGGTGCCAGGACTCTCGCTGACCTCCAGGACTGGCATGGAGCCCCTCTCTGGCCGGCCCTTTGGGAATACTGCCCGTTCCCTGCGCCTCACCCCCTTCCCTGGTGCTGGCACCTCCCACCCCGCACCCCTGCAGGCTCCTGCCTTTCTGATGCTGGTGTGGCGGGCAGCTGTCAGCAGAGGTGGGCGCAGGGCAGAGCACATGCCGGGGCCATAGCTCCCCTGCTTGGGCCCCAGAGACCCCGAGAGAGGGTGAGGTCAGCCCTGCAGCTGCAACCCCCTGCCCGCCCGCCAGGATGCTGAGGGGCTGGTGGACCTTGTCAGGTGTCTAACAAGGGGTCAGTCTTCGGGTGGTGGGAGGGGGCTTTACCGTTATGAGGAATTGCAGTATGGATCACATGGACATTCACGTGATGCAGGCCGCCGCTGCTTTTTTTTTTTTTTTTTACTTTTTTTGGGTCACACCTGGCAGTGCTCAGGGGTCACTCAGGAATTACTCCTGGCAGTGCTTGGGGGACACTATGGGTTGCCGGGGATCAAACTCTGATCGGCCGCTTCAGGGCAGACGCCCTGCCCCCTGTGCTATCTCTCAGCCCCGGGCCCTGGGCTGTGTTCAGTTAGTCCATGTTGCTCTTTGTCTGATGTGGGATACTCATGTTTACCAGAAATGTTCACAAATGAATGATTGGATGTTTTTTTTTTTCCATGGAGACAAGGAAAAAGCCTCTTACAAACCTGCTTTCTTCTTCAGTGACAGGAAATCCGGTTCTCTTGCACTAATATGTGAACTTATGGACATGAATATTTATGAACTAATCCGAGGTACGTAGAACAATCGGGCCCTGAGACCCGTCTTTGTGGCTGGTGCCCCGAGACCTGTAGTCGCTGTGGACCCCATGCAGGCACCTGCTTGGTCCCTTCCCCTCGCGGGCCCGGCCCTCTGGCCGCTGCAGAGAGGCGCTGGCCCGTGTCCTGCCTCTGCCCGGGACCCGTGCCCCTGCCCTGCTGCTGTTCTCAGCTCCGAGTGGCGCTAAAGGAGAGGCCCCGTCCACTCTCGGCCCACGGGCAGCGCCCTGCTCAGATCTCGCTCTCTAAGCTGTGGCCTGGGGGTGGCCACGGTGGCCGCATAGCAGCTGCCCGGCCTCTGGCCTCTGCTGTGCTGTGCATTTCAGGTGGGCCGTGAATGAATGCCCCAGAAAGGAACCCAGGGCGCAGGTGCTGGACAGCAGCGTGAGGGCTGCCCCCTGAGTGACCTGTCAGCAAAGGCTTTAACCTGCCCAGGAAACAGCCTCTGTAGGACGAGGGTGGACACTGGGCTTCCCAGGGCTGCAGGACGAGGATGGACACTGGCTGCTCCCCTGGGCCTGCGTGATGAGGGTGGACGCTGGCTGCTCCTGCGGGGGCTGTGGACTCGGAGGTCAGCTCGGGGCAGAGCTGTGGGCCCAGGTGCTGAGGGAAGTGCCGCCCCCCCCCCCCCCCCCCCCCGGGGCCTGGGGAAAGCTTCGGTGCCTCACGGTCCCCTGAGGGTGGTAGGCCTGGAGCGCCACCACCAGTGCTTGGGCCCAGACTTTCCTGGTCCTTGGGGGGACATGGATGATTCCTGGCGGGGCGGGGGAGGCGTTTCTTCCGCTCCCCATGTCTGGCCCCAGGGGGGTCAGGCCTGAGCTCTGGGACCTGGCACCCAGCTGTGACAGCAACAGCCGGGAGGCGGGAACAGCCATGTCTGAGGCGGCCACAGGTGGGCCCAGAGCAACCAAGGGGCCCGACAGCCCCACGTGGATGGAGGAGGCAGCCTCATGGTTCTGCTTCTCGGGGGGGCCCCGGGAGCGGCCCCGGCAAGGGCCCCGGCGTCGGGTCTCTTGGCTGTCTCCTGGCAGGGGCCCAGGGCTCACTCCAGAGCATGGAGACGCCCCATCCCCACCCCTGTGGCTCACCGAGAGGCGCCTTCGCCGGTAAAGCACCACAGTGCTTCCTTCCTTTGGGGCTGCTTGATTCTGTGCCCACGGGGGTCTGGGTGCACGGGCTCTGGGTGGGCTCTGGATGGGGCCACCTGCCCCACTGCCCCGGCCATTGATGTGCTTCTCACGGAGCCTCACAGATATCTCTCTTCAGCAACAGCTTCTCAGGGGGCTGACGTCTCAGAGTTCTGACGCTTGCTTCCAGGGGCATGAAATTCTTTTTGGGTCACACCTGGTGACATTCAGGGGTTTGTCCTGGCTCTGCACTCAGGGATCACCCCCGGCGGTGCTCGGGGGACCTTATGGGATGCCGGGGATTGAACTCAGGTCGGCCGCATTTAAGGCAAATGCCCTACCTGCCGTACTATCACTCCAGCCCCTTGGCTCGTTTTTTTTTTGTTTTCTGGGCCACACCCAGGGATGCTCAGGGTTAACTCCTGAGTCTGCACTCAGGAATTGCTCTCTTTTTTTTTTTCTTTTTTTCTTTTTGGGTCACACCTGGCTCTGCGCTCAGGAATCACCCTGGAGGCGCTTGGGTTGGCCATGTGCAAGGCAAACGCCCTCCCCGCTGTGCTATTGCTCCAGCCCCAGGAATTGCTCTTGACGGTGCTTGGGGGGCCATATGGAATACAAGGGATGGAACCTGGGTGGGCTGCGTGTGAGGCAAATGCCCTCCCGCTGTACTGTCACTCCGGCCCGCTAGAATATTCTTCATGGCACTGTTCGGTGAGACCCCCCTGAGGAGCACTCTGGGGCCAGCCTGGACATGGCTGGGGTTACTGTGCCCTCCTCAGGCCCTCGTACTTCTCTGAAGCTGGGGTGGTGGAGAGACTGGGAGGTTCCTGGTGCTCCCTGAGTCCCTCTGCTTTCAGCCAGGCTCAGGGGAGGCACGGAGGAACTCTGAAGTCTGAGGTGGGTGGGGACAGCGGGGTCAGCCCTGCGGGAGGACTCCAGGGTCCCAGGTGCTCCTGCTCCGCCAGGCAGGGCAAACTGGGAGCCGGGTCCTTCCTCCCGGGGGCTCCCAGCTGGCCTTAGTGTCTAGGTCCGCTTTCTCGCGCCCAGATGCCACAGGGGCAGGCAGATCGCCCCTAGGACGGGGCCTGGAAGGACACCGGGAGGGGCACGGGGCTCTGGAGCTGCTGATGGCAGGGCGTGGTGGCAGTGGGGTGGCCTCGAGCCTCGAGTGCCTTGAGGTCGGGCTTGTGTCCTCCACACGCGGGGCTGGTCCCGAGGCGGCTCCCGACAGCCCTGCGCCCACGTGGCCCTTCTGGTCTGCTGCCCGGAGCCACCGTGAACTGTGTGGAGTCGCCGGCGACTGCTGGGCTCGGTATTCTGTCATGCCCGTGAGTCGGCCCGTCCTGCAGAAAACGCTTTCACGCCTAAAGTGCAGCTGCAGGACAGGCCCGGGCATCCTGGCGGCATCGCAGAGTCCTGGTGGCATCGGGGCGTCTTGGGACATGGTGCCTGCAGGGGAGCCCGGCTAGCGGGCCCATGCACCCCTGCAAGCCCCCAGCTCCTGTTGGCTTCTCAGACCGGAGGTGCCCATGGGCAGTGTGTGGATGGTGCCCCCCGCTTGGCGGCCACAGTGTCTGTTTGCTTCTTCCCTGGGCCAAAGTTAGATTTTCACACAGCACAGCGGGTAGGGCGTCTGCCTTGCACACAGCCAACATGGCCGACCCGAGTTCGATTCCTCCGCCCCTCTCGGAGAGCCCGGCAAGCTACCGAGAGTATTCGATATGCCAGACACAGTAACAACAAAGTCTCCAATGGAGACGTTACTGGGCCCGCTCGAGTAAATCGATGATCAACGGGAGGGCCTTTACTTTTACTTTACTTAGTCTTGACTTCACGGAAGGGGATCTGGTGAACATGTTGGCTGTTTGCTTCACTGCACAGGGAGAAGACACCCATTACCAGAAAAAAGAATTATGCGTTACATGTACCAGCTCTGTAAATCCCTGGACCATATGCACAGGTACGCTGTGGGGAAGGCTCCACGCTCCCGCCCATCACAGGAACTAACATTCATTCAAAGTACGATGTAAAGAATTCCAAGCCATGAGGTACCATTAATTCTACCGTTTTATGTTGACTGCAGAAACGGAATATTTCACAGGGATGTAAAACCAGAAAATATATTAATAAAGGTAAGAACATAGACTTTATTTTGTTGTTTTTTGGGCCCACCCAGCAGTGCCCAGGCTTACTCCTGGCGAGCCGGGGTGGACCCTGGGCTGGCAGTCCCTGTGGTGTGTGTCTCGGCCACCCGCCCGTGGGGACGCTCCCATGAGGACTCTGTCTCAGACACTGGACGCCTTTTGCTGACCTTCCTCCATGCCAGAGCGCTGGAGTAGGTCACTGGCCTTGTCCCCAGCCTGCAGCAAAGTTCTTTAGGGTTTTCCAGCTGATTGCTTGGCTGTTTGTTTGGGCACCACAGCTGGTGGTCCTCAGGGGCTCCTCCTGGCTTGGTGCTCGGGGTCGCCCCTGGCAGTGCCAGGGACGGGTGGGTATGCACTGCCAGGGATCAGACCTGGCATCCTGCCACGCGCACTGAGCCGTCCCCCGACCGCACATGGCTCTGTTAGTGAAAGCTCTGGACGAGACAACATGGGACAGCCTCGAGCAGAGGCGGCAGGGCAGGCCGGGAGCGCACTGTGCCCTCAGGACTCGTGTCCCGTGAGCTGTAACCCGGGACCAGGGCTGCTCACTTGGCACCAGCCTGAGGTCTCCTGTGCCCGTGGCCCGTCCTCCCCAGGCTGGGCCTGGCTGCCTTAACGGGATCTTTGATTTTGGAGGGGTCACACGCAGTGGCGCTCAGGGCTGATGTCACTTGCGGCAGGCAGGCTGCATGCGAGGCAGGCGCCCTCCCCGCTGTCCTGTCTCTCCGGCCCTGGCCTTTACGGGCTCTTTCTGTAATGTTCTGTTACCCGTGGGATTGACTCACGCATGTCCCTCTGGGCCTGGCGTCTCTCCCTCTGCTCTGTCCTCTGCAACAGTCTGTGTCCCCTTCTCCCCTGGGGGTCTGTCTTGCCCCTCTGCTGGCTGTGCCGTGCAGCCACGGAGCGTGTCACTGGAACCGGCGCAAGGACCTTTCTGGCGTGACTCTTTTGGAGTCCCCAGTGCTCACCTGACGGTCCCCATCCACCGGCTTGTGCTGCAGACACGGTGACTGGTTGTTTCCGATCCCTGTGACAGCCCTACAGTCGATGCCACTGGCGAACCTGGTTCGAGGTTCACTGTGCCTTCAGATGGGTCTGCAGGCTGGAGGGCCGGTGCGGGGAGGAGGCAGTGTGCCGTGCGGCCGCCGGGCTCATTCCTGGCACCCCACACGGTCCCCCGCGCACCACCAGGAAGGCCCCCGAGTGCAGAGCAGGCGACGCTGGGGGCGGGGGGGCTGCGAGGGGCAGCCGGGGCTCCTGTGGCCGCCGACCGCCCGGCGCTGTCCCCGCAGCAGGACATGCTGAAGCTCGGGGACTTCGGCTCGTGCCGCAGCGTGTACTCGCAGCAACCGTACACCGAGTACATCTCCACGCGCTGGTACCGCGCACCCGAGTGCCTGCTCACCGACGGCTTCTACACGCACAAGATGGACCTGTGGAGCGCGGGCTGTGTCTTCTACGAGATCAGCAGGTGCGCGCAGGCCTGGCCTGTCTCCGGCCCATCCCCGGCCCGGGCTGTCGCCAGAGTCCTCCGGGGTGCAAGTGTCGAGAAACGCTGAGGCTGGGGCCTTGGGGAGTCCTGGGCGATGGGCGTGGCCGGGCTGGTCCCCGTGTCCGGCCTCACAGCCAGCCTCCCCTCCCCCAGCCTGCAGCCCCTCTTCCCTGGTGCCAACGAGCTCGACCAGATCGCCAGGATCCACGAGATCCTCGGCACCCCCACTGAGAAGACTCTGTGCAAGTTCAAGCAGTGAGCGCCCCGCCTGCCCGCCCGCCCGGGGAGGGAGCCCCGAGGGGCACGACGGACGTGGGTGCTGGAGTAACGGGGTGACCGACTGTCATTGGGCTTTCAATACAGGTCGAGAGCTATGAGTTTTGATTTTCCTTTTAAAAAGGGATCGGGAATTCCTCTAGTGGCGGGCAGTCTGTCCCCTCACTGCCTCTCCCTCCTGCACGCAATGGTGGCCTACGATCCCGAGGATCGAGTCACGGCCCACCAGGCGCTGAAGCACCCCTACTTCCAGGAGCAGAGGTAGGCGGGGCCTGGGGGCGCCCCGCAGCGGTCCAGGCCCTCTGGGTAGCCCCTGAGGAGCGGGGGGGCAGGGCCCGGGGGGCGCCCCGTGGGCGGAGAGGTGGACAGGACTTGGTGCCAGCGGGTGTGAGGGGTGAGCTGGGGGGGCCTGGTGTGAGGGGTGAGATACTTTGGGGGGCCTGGTCTGTGAGGCGTGTCCCGGGGGGAGGGAACGCCTGCTACTGCACATTGCGGTCACATCCTTTCCTGCGTGTGAGCGGGAGCTACTGCCCCCAAAACTTGTGATTCATGGGAGCGCCTGGGTGGCCGTGGAGTTGGGGAGCCACCTGGGGCCACAGTGGGCCTGTCCCTCCACAGGACAGCCGAGAAGCTAGCTTTGAGCAGCCACAGAAGAGCCTTCTTCAGCGAGAGGGCGGCCTCGGGACTCCTGGGCCCCGACTGGCAGGTGGCGCCGGAAAGCGGGAAGCAGGTACTGACCGTGGCCACGGGGCCGGGGGGCGCGTTCTGCCTGGGGATGCCCCAAGCTGGGGGGCTGCTTGCCCGCCCCTGCCCAGGGTGGGTGGGCTTCAGGAGAGGCAGCCCCGCGTCTGCACCCCAAGCACCGTGGGCCGCAGCCCCACCAGCCCGGAGCACAGGAGCAGCCCGGCTCATGGGTGTCCTTGTGCCCCTCTGCCACCAGCCTGTGACCGCCCGGCCCTGGGTGTGGTTCAGGTGGCGGAGGGGTGGGGTGCAGAGACCCCCGGGCAGCCTGGCCGACTGCGTCTCCCGCCCTCCGCCCCGTTGTCGCTGCTGTCCGGAGCGGTGCCTCCGCCGCCACTGCCGCCTCGGCGGGTGCTACTCCCCTCTGTTTTGTTCCGAGAAGCAGCCGCTCAAGCCCGAGGAGGAGTGTGGCCGGCGTGCGGGTGCCGCCTGCGTGAAGCTCGCGGGTGGCAGCAAGCCTCTGTCCTTCTCCAGCCCGGCGCTGCCGTCCATGCTGGGCCCCGGAGCCGGCGCGAGAGTCGCGGTGCTGAGGCCCCTCAAGTGCGTGGGCGCGAGCCAGAAGGTAGCGCCTCGCTGGCCTCCCCGTGGGCCCCGGGGCCCGGGCACCCGCTGAGCCGCCCCTTTCTCTGACAGCTGGACCCGCAGAAGGACCTGAAGGCCAGCCTGAGGCAGTGCCGCCTGCCGGCCATAGAGAGGAAGGGTGGCGACCACTGAGGCCCCGCAGGGCGAGCACAGCCTGGGGGGCCCCCCCGGAGCCGGCCCTATGCGCGGCCTCGGCGGGGCTGCTCCCCGAAGCGGCGGACAGTGGGGCCCAGCTGAGTCCCGCCTCGGACCGCCTCCTTCTAGGCCTTTCATGCACTTTTGGACACAGACGCGGGGGCTGAGCTCCGGTGGTCTCCGTCTGTGGCCCAAGACCCAGATGCCGGGATGGACACGCTTGGATCTGAGCCTGGTGCCCGCAGCTCTGCCGGGCACCCCCGGGTGCGTGCGCTGCGGGAGCCGCTTTTGATTAAAGCGGCATCGTTAGAGTTCGCCTGTGTCTTGGCACATCTGTCCTGAGCCCGCCACCTGCTTCCACGAGCACCTGGGAGCAGCGACCTTGCAGGGAGACCCGGGTGGAGGTGGACCGCGGGGCCCTGGCCCACAGGAGCGAAGCGGTCACTGTCTCGCAGCATCAGGCTGGCCTGGGGAGCTGCAGTAAGTGGGCATGGGGTGGGGTGGTCTGGTGGGCATTGGCTGGTGGTGGACAGGGGGACCCTCACCGGCCCCTCTCTGGGGAATGTCCCACAAAAGCTCAGCATTTTTCTCAGCTTCTCCAACCAATGTTTTTGAGACTCCATTTCCCAGGTTTTGTCGTGTCTTTTCCGTTTTTGGGACAAATCTGACATCTGTGCTTGGGCCACCAGCCATGGGAGGGTGGGGGGCAGGGAGGGGGCCACCGAAGGGGCTATGGGGGCAGATGCAGACTGGGGGGTCACTCATGGGGGCCCGGGGCAGGCGGCTTCCTGAGATGGCACACGGGCTCCTGTGGGCAGCCAGGCACCGGCTTCCCAGCCGCACTGGGGAGTGGCCGAGCCAGCCACACTGATGCTCAATGCCCTGAGCTGGGTGTGGCCCCCAGGATCTGGGCCTTTTTGGGGAGCGAGGCTTGGACCATGCCTTGTGGTGCTCAGGGCTTGCTCCTGGGCTGTATGCGGTTCCTGGCAACAAACTAGGGTTGGCCGCACGTAACCAACAATGTGCCTTTTCCCATTTCTATCCCCAGCCCCCCCTAAAATGAACTACAAAATTAATAAAGGGTTCTGGGCCAGAGTGATAGTACTGTAGGCTGGGCACACACACAAAAAAAAGGCACTCCAACTAATAAAGGCTTCCCAGGCAACCTTGTCAGAACTGGAAGGGCCTCCCTGTCCCCTCGCCGTGTGGCAGGGCTCACTGGGGTGCCCAGGCTCCCCATGCCAGCTCGCTGCTGCGTCCCCGCGTGGGCATTCCTACTGGGAAGGTGTCGGCTCCACTCCTCCAGCGCTTCCGAGTGGGGTGCCACCCCGGAGGCCGCCACGCCCCTCGGCCACTGCCCCGATGGCGCCAGCAGTTTGCTCGCGGAGCCCCGGGACAGCTGGCGGGCAGAACTGGGACCACAGCGTGTTCTGGGCTTGAACACGCCGGGTGGTCCTGGTGCTCCGATCATTTCCTGCACAGACTGGGGCGTCCCAGAGGCAGCTTGTTTGCACCTTGAGGTGGGGCTTCCTCGCCTTTGGGACCAGGACAAGTTGGGTTTCCTATGTATGTGAAGGTCACAGCCATGCTGGGGGAGGGTGACAGTCACACGTGCTGGGGCCCGAATGTCTGCCACCTTCCCACAGGTCACAGCGACTCTGGCCTCGGCCTGAACATGGGTCTGGCTGGCCTTGCCCTTGCTCTACCCTGGTGGGCGCCAGGCCTACCCCGTTCCTGCGGTCACAGACGGGCTCTGCATTGCGCAGGGCACAGGGGCCACTCCCAGAAAAGCTGGGCCGGGCAGGCCGGCTGACTAGCTGCTGTGCTTGGGGAAGATGCGGCTTTGAGCATGCCAGGCTGTGCTCCGGCTCCCACGGCAGGGCCGGGAGTGCAGCTCGGCTGGACAGCACTTTACGTGCACGCCTGAGCCTGGGTGACCTGAGGGCTGCTCCATCCCCAGCCCTGAGCGGTGGCTTAAAGACCAAACCCGGGCACTGGCCAAGGGTCCGTGGGGCCTGATCTTTGTAACTCAGGCCGGGCCTCCAGGGGCCTTCAGGTGCCACCAGCGGAGGTCCTGTGCCCAGTTTCCTGTGCGAACTGGAAGGCAGAAGCGGGAGGGCAGGGTGTGAGTGTGGGCGGAGGGACAGAGTTCTTCCTTTGTGATTCTCTAATTCAACCCAGTTTCCCATTAAAAAGTCGAACCATCACATCAGGGAGTCGGTGTAATCGGAAGAGAAACCAAGTGGTCTGTTCAAGATAATTTTAATATGAATACCTTTGTGAGCTAGAAATATTACTATTTCTAGCAGGATGAAACTGGGGGGCGGGGAGGGCAGGTGCTGCCCGCTGTGGCAGTCACAGAGTTACAGAGTTTGCACGCGAGCACAGCACTGATGCTCTGGAAGGAATCTTGGCCCAGCACAGAACTGTCTGACGTGCAGGTCACAGTGAAGGTCACAAACCACCTTCGTGGGCTCAGGGCTGGGCGCGGGGCATGTTCTTGTGTCCGTGCAAAGGTCTCTGCTGACACGTGTGTCTCTAGACTTGCTTCTTGTGATGCCAGATTTGGGCGTGAAAAGCAAAAACCACCCGTTTTTCCTCGATGGCCGGAGCCCGAGTGCCTTGCTGTGGGCGCGGCTTCCTGGGTGCAGGTCAGCTCTGCGCGCCTCCGGTGACATCCACCTCCCGCGAGGTTTGGCCGCCCTGAGTCCCCGGCAGCGCTACACTACAGTTCCCCGGGGAGAGCGGGCCTGGTTTGGGGGTGACAAGAAACCCTGCAAACAAAGCAGCTCACGTTAATCCGGCTCACCCACCGCAGGCTGCCGCTCCGCCGCCTCCAGAAGTTTCCCAGGTCAGAGGGGGTGGCTGCGGGCCAGCATTCTGGACACTTGGTCTTCGCCCGCCGCTGTGCGATGGCCTGTCCCCAGGCCCAGAGCAGCCCCTCACTCGGAGACCAGGTGGCCTCAGCTCTCATGGCGCCTGTTCCTGTCATGGCCACATTCAGTGGCACTTGTCAAGGATGTTTTCTGGGCGGCGGGCAGAATGTCTCATGGCAGTTTTCGTTTTTTTGGGGGGCTGCATACCTGCTAGTGCTGACCACTCGCTCATGGTGGGCTCGGGAGACCACAGGGGGCGCCAAGGATCAAAGTCAGGCTGTGTGCCAGGCAAGCCCCCTACCCGCTGTGCACTCAGTCCAGCCCCACCAAGACCTATGGGTGGTCTATCCCGGAGGGGGTGCCCCATAAAAGCTGTGGGCAGCAGCCCCCCGTGGGCATTGGCTGAGGAGTAGGTCGTCTCCCCACGTTCTCCAAGGTGCACTCTGCAGCACCCTGTAGGTCCGGGGCACCTCAGCTCCGCCACCCTGCTTCTGCTCTCAGATCTCAGATCTGGACTCGTCTCACTCCCACCCCACCTGCTGCTCCCCTTCGGGGCCAGTGGAAGGGGGAGGGGCCTGCTCAGCCACCACTGACCCGTCAGCGCTGCCTTGGGGTGTCCAGGATGGCTCATGGGGTCAATCTCCCATCCCACTGGAGGCCCAGAGGGGCTGGTGCAGGCACGGCGTGGCCGACCACTCTCCTGCCCTGTGTGCACGAAGCCAGCCAGGCCAGGAGCCACCCACAGTTCCCCGAGCCCCACCGGTCACTGCCACGCTGATGGGGACACATGCCCCCGGAGGAAGCGGCCCGGGGGCACCCTCTGCCGGTGGGCTCTGTCCCCTCAGGCCTCTCTTGCCTGAGCAGGAGAGCAGTCCTTCCGTGGGTCTGTCTGTCCTTCCGTGGACATGTGCAGACCCACGCTCTGCCCTTGGAGCCCTGTCCTATGGGGGGTGGGGGCTGCAGCCAGGGCTGGCACCGCCTGCGCTGTCCCCGCGCTGGTGGGCTCAGGCCAGCCGAGCAGGTTGTAAAAGCCCCAGGAGGTTTCTTTTCAGATCCACCGAGGCCCCCGCCCTCCAGCCTTGTACCCCTGCCTCAGGAGATGCATTTCTTTCCCGACTCTTTTTCGTGGCTATTCCTGGGCTGCTGCCGGTCCCAAGGGTGCAGAACAACGCCCCCTGCTGAAACCCGGCCGTCACAGCACCCACATTCCGGCCACGTGCACGGTGACCCAGCCAAGGCACAATTACCAGCATTTCACTAAGGAACAGTCCCATCTACTCCAGCCGTCAAAGCAGAGATGAGAACGGGAGGAGATACACAGGTGTTACAGCTGTGGTCCCCAAGGAGGCTCAGACAGTCACTGGGGTCACCGTGTCAGCAAAACCCGGACACAGAATCAAAGCTGCAGGCAAAGGCGCTCCGCTCTCAGTGCTCCCCCAGGGACCTCGCTCTGCTCTCCGCAGCTCTCCCCAAGGGCCAGAGCCAAACTCTTGAAGACTGGAGCAAGCAACAGTCCTGAGGCCCCCACGGGGATGGGTGCCCTCGGGACAGTTGGCACACACGGACACGGCAGGTGGGGGTCTCTGGGCTCCACAGGACTACAGGTGGGGGACGGGCCTGCTGGCCACCAGACCGGCCTCCAGCCTCAGCAGGAGGGCTGCTGGCCCGGGGGCACAGGTGGCCCCAGGCGTGGACACTGCCCCAGCCCCCGGGCTGTCGCCTGGCACTGGTGTCCTCAGAGCCGCTGTGAATCCAAGTCCTGGGTCCCGCCTCTCCGCTCCCCAGCCAGAGCAAGAAAGCAGGAGTCCTCCCAGTGCAGCGCTGAAGGAACGTGGGTCCAGGTGGGACGGGGCAGGGCGCACATGCGGCTGTGGGTTCCAGCCCCGGCACCGCCAGGTGCGGCGAACTCCCTCCAGCCCCCAAATGGGGGAAATGCTAGAAGGTTCCATGAGCACACAAGAAAGTGGGGGTGCCAGAACCATTGAAGCGAGTGGCTCCCCGGCAACCCGGCTTCCATGGGGCCAGGCTTGTCTCTGGTGGCTCACCCTGGGGGGTGTCGCTCTCAGGGTGCTTAGGGGCCATTCCTGGCAGTGCTCGGGGGACCAGAGTGGGGCCTGAGATTCGAACCACGGTACAGCGGCGGCCACGTGCACCTTAGCCTCTATTTTG